TTCACACTAAGAGTTTGTTTTATTTCTTTTCTTTTATTCTAACTGCTATTCTAGACGCTTACCTCCATAGTGTTCTCTTCCTTTCCTTTACTCAAATATATCCTCCCAAGATGGCTATGCCAATCTTGGGAGTATTTCTTTCCAAGTCATAGAGATTTCATTTTGATTCTGAATTTTATAGGGGGAACCCAAAAATCCTGTTTTTTAACTGTCTATCTCCAGTCTACCAAGAGTCACCACAAAAAAAGATACAAGAGGGTCTAAAAGTTTAGAAAAGCAAACATACTCTATCAGATCTGCACTGGAATTATGATTTACAGACAAATGATTGCACAGCAAATAAAATTGAATCATGCTTGTATTTTCCTACCTGCATTATATTTCATTCTACCTTAATAACATGTGTTTGAGCTAGGTACTGAGACCCTCGTAAGTTACTTTCATTTTACAACAAAGGTTTCTTATTAAATATGCAACTTATAAGGGAAAAATTCTTAACGCTTTTTTACAGTAAATTTAATTAAGCATTTCTTGTAAGTTCATTTTAGTCTCCATCATGGCCCACTAAAGTTAAAATTCAGATGTAAAATGGTAGATTAATTGCCTTTTGTATTAAGTAAAATAAGATTCTCAAATATGCAGAGTCAGGAAATTTAATTGTGGTCCTCAATTGCTTACTCAGTGCATTGGAAAACTGAACGCAGAAGTACAGAAAAACGGGCCAAAGGTTGTTAAATGTAGCACATCACACACATTTTGCACTTTACTTAATGATCCAAGTGTTTATTACTATGAAGTAAATGCACCATTTAAAGAATTATGGTGGAATTGTATAATGCTAAAAAATTCTAATTAATTTTGGTCTGAAGCATGCAGCGTGCCCATTTTGCCTAAAACATTTTCATTATCATCAGTATCCAGTTATTAAGATAAATTTTTTCCTGATTATGCAGCACTAGCATATTTTTCCTATTAAAAGCCCAATCTTAAATGCTGCTGAGAGTTATATCAGGTACATGTTTTAAATGAATAAAAGAACACAGTTTTTGCCTGCATATTGGAACAATGTATTGTACATTATTTTACTATACTTACTCTGTAATTAGCAACCATTTTAGTGTGTCTACATGTTTTTATGAAAAACTACATATATTAACATTTTTAAGAGGAACATTATTAAAGTTTTGCATAATAGTTAATTCAGTTGCAGTAACTCCTGCTTCTTTGATCAAATTTAAAAGAAGTATAATATATAAAATTTAAAAGAAGTATAAACATTTTAAGTTATTTCCTACACTTCGCTTTAGTCTACTCTTGTACCACCATATGCCTGAATACTACTATTGAGTTATTTTGTGCAGTGTATAACTGATGTTTTTCTCGTGATCCGCTTATGGTTATGCATAATTGTGATGGATGCTACAGACCAGAGCTGTTGTATCCCTTTAGTACATCATACAAAAGCATTAATATCTCTTTGTATTACTGGTGATGTAAACCCTGACCATGTGTTTAAGGTGGTGTTTGAAAGACTTTTCCACTCTAAAAGTACTTTTAAGTCATCTCTAAAAATGTATGAAACGGGCTGGAGTGATAGCACAGTGGGTAGGGGGCGTTTGCTTTGCACATGGCCGACCTGGGTTTGAGTCCCAGCATCCCATATGGTCCCCTGAGCACCACCAGGAGTAGTTCCTGAGTGCATGAGCCAAGAGTAATCCCTGTGCATTTCCAGGTGTAACCCCCCACCCAAAATATGTATGAAACAATGGGGGAATTATCCCTTTGTTAGTTGTACTATTAAAATAAATCATTGAAAATGTGACCGTCTATAGAGGCATGTGTTCCCATGGACTGTAATTAGGTTCTAATGTCCAAGTAGCAGAAATTCCAGCACAAGAATAAATTGGCATTTATTTGGAATTGTTCACCTCCTATGAGAAATAAAAAGTAGGGTTGATAGTTTTTTATTGTCATGAATTCTATGAATTATTATGAGAACTAAGTCAAATTTGTAAGTATTATCAAATATTAGGGCACTTCTTTTCTAAGTGGTACAAACGAGAAAATATAAACCAAACCTTCCAACTTTTATTTCATAGTATTTCACTGTATCACTGTATCACTGTCATCCCATTGTTCCTCAATTTACTCAAGCGAGCACCAGTAGCATCACCATTCATCTCAACTCTGAGATTTTTAGCCCTGAGATTTCATAGAATTGAGTGGCTAAGTAATGGTAATTTTTTACTCATTTTTCTTTTATGTTAACTTTTCTTACTCATACTTGTCACCTGGAAAGGTAGAGCTTAGTTAAAAGGTTCCCGTGTGCCTAGAAATGATCCTCAGTGCTAAGAGCAAGAAGGCAAAGCAACTACTCTTCCTTTGGCATTCTGGATGTTACTGTTGTATAAGTGTGAATTTGTAAAATTATATATATATATATATATATATAAAACTAGCATGATCTACAAGGTTGTTATTAATCAACATGTTCTTTGGAGTATGAATTAACAAGCTGAAACATTAAGAGGTAAACCTGTCTACTCTTCAGTAGCCCCAAAGGGTACATCTTTTTTTTGGCTGCGTCAGAACACTTCATGAAACAAATGTCAAACTTGTCAGGTCTGTCACTGAGAAAATGATCCGTGCAGCCAGGGTCTTCTTTCACTGGGAAGCAAACAGATGTCTTATCTTAGCAGAGAGTGACAAAAACCTGCCATCCATCAGAAGAAATTTTTGGCTTTCTTTAATATCCACGAATAAATAAATACTTCAGTAAAATACTTGCTTGTTTTCTGTTTTGTTTAGTTTTTTGGTTTTTTTGTTTTGTAAATTTGTTCATTATGCAGTTGTTTTTATCTTGATTTACTGCCTAAGATATTTCAATGATTTTATTAATTCTGATCTGTACATAAGATACTTCTGTAAATTGACCTTAATGAGAAAGAATCAATTAGTACTTACGCAAAATGAACCAAAGAAGCTTCTAAAATTCTTTTGCAAGTTTATCATACCTAATCCTAATAATTCCATTGAGATAATAACATATATTACAATTAGTTTAACAGTATCATTCTATAGTAGTTATAATATATTAACACTTCATAACACTTTAGCAGTTAGGATTAAATACCTGCCGAGTTAGGAAGGATGCTATGCTTTTCGAGATTACATATTACTGTAGACAGACCTACCCTTTCTTATTCCGCTGTTTCACAAATTTATTATTAGACTCTAAATATGTACTTAATGTGCCCAGTTAAATGGTAGGAATATAAGAGAGAGAAAATACAGCTCTGCCTGAGAAACATAGAGATAAATCCAGTACTCCCTAACAGAAACTTCTTATCACTTTATCTGATAATTTTAACACATCTAATTTTAATACATTCTGACATGCTCTCACTGAAGAAGACAGTGGAAAATATAGAATAAGATTTACTTTTTATTCTGATATAATTAAAATACAACCTCTAGAAACTCTTGAAGTAGAAACTACCTGTCCGCTAATAAATTTTTGAGTCAGTCAGTCATATCTGTTCAGTAGAGATAAACTGGAACAAATAAGCAACATAAAATAGCTTTTATGCTTAGAAAAATTATATCAAAATTACATTGCCAGATGATATTCACCTTATTCCTTGTAACCTTCATCTCCATAATGATATAGGATGGTCGACAATATTGATGATTTCTCTCCTGGTATTGACAGTCTGAATCAAATGCTAAATCTAGATGCACTAGAGACAAAGTCTAAAAAGAAAGCTTACTCCATATGTATGTGTGGATTTTTTGGGCAGGGGGAACCATTTCTGCTAGATAACCTAAAGGGTTACTCCTGGCTTAGTGCTCAGGGGTAACTCCTTGTGTTGCCTGGAAATACAATGTGGTGCCAGGAACAATCTTGGACCACTTGTGCGCAAAGTATGCACTCAGACTATTGGGCTATTTCTCCAGCCCAATGGCTGTGGTTTTTTTAATGGAAAATAAATACAGCTTTCTAAGAGATGTATATAAATCAAGGCTTAGATACCTTATATATAAATCATGATTAGCTAAATAGTTATATATAATTCTTCATTTGCATTTATTTAATAAAGTTAATTTCTTAACAAAGCATAGCATTTTAACTGAATAGAATTTGTTTTTATAAGATACAGAAATATAGGGTGATATTTTTTTATTGCCTAGAGTACTGAGGAAATTGCTATTCATACTTTTAACTCAATGAAGAATAGTCAAACAAACGTCACGTAATAAAAATGAAAGATCTTGGTTTCAGAAATATTAAGAAAGCAAAACTGCCTTGATTTGGGTAATGTTGAAGGGACAGACATGTATGATGAGATAGGTTACAAGTTATAAAATGAAATATTTTTCTATACCTTCATTATGCTTTCGAGGTCATCATTCTGCACAAAATGCACCTCATTCCTGAAAACAGACTTAATGATGTCATTTTATTTATTCACAATGTTGCATAGGAACTTGCTATGAATTACAAGGCCACCATTTAGAATCAAAACTATATAGTATTGTAAGTATTCTATAGTCCGACTTGCCCTTGTTTCCTATTTTAGAGCTGACTGATTTTCAGATAACATATGGTGTTACCAGTAATTGGAAAATTGGCAGGCCTGTCAAGAAAGTATGCTAGATGAGACAACAATGCCTTGCTAGGGCACATAATGTGTTTCAATCTTATTTTTTTATATCAAACAATGAAGTAAAAATACCCTGTTCACCCCCTTAAAGGACACTTTTTTAATTATTATTGATAAAATGAGTTTTTTTAAAAAAAAACTAAAATTTTAGCTAATGTGTAGTATAAAACAGTACCCACTAAATTACTATTTAAATGTTACCTAATTTTACCATTGTGTTTATAACCTTTTCACTAGGATTAATTGAATCACAATAGTTAATAATTCTTCAGAGAAATAAAGTTGGAAAATTCCCTAAAGTTTATAATTTAATGTTTTCTAAAATTTGTTTCACAGGAAGATGAAAATGAAGCTGAAAGAAAAAATATATCTCAGGAGCTCAGCATGGAACAGAAAAATCCAAAGAAATAAAGGATTTTCTGTAGTGTTTTGAAAAGTGTGCAACTTATGTAGTAGTAGATAAAATTTCTAATTGTAAAATGTTAAATTGTAAAATCTAATTTGCAAATGTTCTCAATAAAGTCATTGAAAATGCAATAGGAGCTTGCACTTGGAATTTGTTTTAGAACAATTTAAACCTTTAATAGCTAGGCCTTTAAAAATATTTTTAAAAGGAGAGAAATTCTTACCTGAAATTTAAGACTAGCAACCAATTTTTCTTTTATTTTAACCTAAGGGCTAAGACAGCTGATGACCTGAAAGAAAACTCTAAAAGACTTTTCCCCCCTTACCAGTCTCTCTTGTCTTCTTCAGTGACCTGAACAAAATTCCACTTCATAATCTAAAGAAAAACAAACCAACGCCACAAGAATGAAATATCATTTCTAAATGTATCAGTATATCATCTAATATTCTAGGATTGAAAATAAAGGCCAAAAAGGAAATGATAATTTACTGTTATCTCTGGTAGAAGCAGTACCATGATTTTTAATTCATAGTATATAATATAATCTAAAGTATGCATAATATTTCTACTGTATGCTAATCCTGGTATATTTTTCTTAGATACTTCAAGAACGGTTCGCATGTGTATTTCTAAAATTCCTTTGATTCCCATTTTTATCAGAATTCTCAGTAACCAACCATTTTACTTCCCCTGCTTCTGATTCCCAGGCTATCATATGCCAGCAACAGCAAGAGCAATGAAGCTACTTGTTATATGCATAACCAAATGTTGAGCAGATGTCTGATTACTTAAGGCAGAGTTTCTTAAAATGGGAGGCAGAGCTTTGGAAGACTTGTAAGAAAATGCCAACCTGCAGCTTCTCCCTGTGAGAATGGAATCTCTGTTCTTGCCCTAGAGCTAGAGTTTCAATCACGTGTATCTAACAAGCTCAATAAGGTATGACAGTGGAAAAAGCTCACAGTAATGATAAAGTGAACTGAAACTGCAAGTAGGCAAGATAGAAAATTCATTGATACACACCCTCAAGTATTGTACTTTAATTATCAGGAGGAATCCACAGATTGGACTTCCTGAATAAATTATGGACAAAGGCTTTAAACTAAAGAAAATCTTGGGGAGGCAGATTAGAGTCTGTGGATGGCCTGTAGTATGAGCAAATAAAAATGAATTTGTTTACCCCCATCCCATATTTTATTATTTTTGAAATAGACCGTAGTCTGTTTCAAAATGCCAGTTTTCACAAGGGTTGGAATTACATTTATATTGTTACATTTGAAAAAAGAAGTGATAATACATGGTTAATTCATGACTAGCATTATGTTACAGATCTGTGTTAAATGTGTAATGTGTTATATGCTGTTATTAACATAATTACTATTTTCTTATTTACCAGTGATCGATCTGAGACGGAAAATAAGTGAACCAAGGTGAAACAAATTAACAATTGTGTATGGTCAAAGACTTCAACCTGAAATAATCTTACTACAAAATCATGCTTAATATGTAATGTCTATTTAATACTGTTCTCTCAATTTACTATTTTTCACCCAAATTTTTTCTGTTAGCATCTCATTTACCATCTGCTACTTTTCTTTGCCAATTTCTGAACAACACTTTAATCATTTAAAGTAAAAAAAGTGAAACAAAACCCACTACCATTCTATTTGGCCTGCTTTATCATATATGTATGTATATATACTGAGATCATGGAACAAGTATAGCAGCACTTGAGTGATTCTCTAGTTTCTCAAGAATATTATGACCAAATTTTTGGTTTGATTTTAGAGCACACCTCATGGTGCTCAGGATTGCTCCTGGTTCTGTGCTCAGGGAACCATATGTGGGGATCAATCTGGGACCGCTGCTTGCAAGACAAGCATCTTATTCTCTTTATCATCTTCCTGGCCCCTTTTGTTTGGTTTTTGGTTTAAGGCCAAGTTTTTTGTAAATTGTTTATTCAGCTATTAGTGTGCTGCCATTGCATCTCTTGATAGTTTTACTTCTAGATTGTAGATTGTCATGTATGAGAGGGATAGTGGCACACAGTTACCCTAAAAGCATAAAGCCTCTCATATATATGGGGGGGGGACCTTAGCAATACTTCGGGACTAAAGCAGACGTTGCAAATATATTTAAGTGGCACTTTAACCACTTAAATCCCTAGCTTATCTTTATATATCTATATACCCCTTGATTTAAGACACTTAGTAATATAGGAATGCTGTTAAGTTTCCTTTAGGGAAAAATTTTTATGATCTATTTCAATTTTTTGTTTTGTAGTCATACTATAAATCTATAATACAAATCTTATTGTAAAGACACCATATTTCCCATATTAGATAACTCTGATGTAATCACTTGATTTTATTCATGTTGGATATGTTTTTTATATGTCACCTCAAATATTACATTAGCTAAGGAAACCTTCAGTATACCCGTGTTTTATTTGAATGAAACTGTATTGTAGAAGATCAAGGTTCAATTCCTGGCACCACATGATTCCCACAGGTACCACTAGCAGTCACCTCCATACAACAAGTCTGGTGTAGTCCCTAAACACTGCTGAGGTCACCCCCATCTCTCCCCCCAAAAATGTTTGGTCAAGAGATAGCTAAGTGACAAGCTGTAGAATGCATACCACACCTTAGCGCATGTAGTGCAAGTTCAAATTCCTTCCCTCTCCCCTTCTCTAAGCACTGACCCAGAGAGCCAGCCCTTCTCCAATTTGTCCCTGGGGCCTCTAACATCGATCCGTAACGTTTGCACTGCCAGTCCAGACATTGCCAGGAGTGGCCCTAGACTATGTGAGCACTGGTGCTGGGGCCACTATAATGTAAATAAATCTTCTTTCAGGATATATTATATCTTGTATTAGCTCCCCTGTCATAGCAAAACAAAGTCCAGAGAAGATCCTACAGGTTTCAGTTTCTGGAGAGTACTCATCTGGTTTATATATTACCACCTTGCTTATCTTCACATTATCCTTCCTCTGTATGTTGAAAGAGAGCAAGTGAATTTTCTGGTGTCTGTTTTTGAAGATGCTAATTCTACTAGATCAGGGTCAACCTTTGACCTCATTTAGTCCCAAATCTTTATTCCCAATACAACTGTAATGTCTGTCTCTCTGTCTCTTCACTGTGTGTGTGTGTGTGTGTGTGTGTGTGTCTGTCTGTCTGTCTGTCTATCTGTCTGTCTGTATTAGAGCTTCAACATGTGAATTCAGGAGGTAGGGTGGAGGGGACACATTTAATCCATAATACATTTGAGTAAATCCAAATGCTTCCTTTATAACAATTCTCTTTACATTTAAGAGACAATAGGGCTAGACCCAGTGAAAATACCTGTGGTAATATAGATTATTTAATATAGCATCTTTATAAACAATAATTGGGATATGATCTAAAAAGATGAATTTTTAGAGAGAAAACACTGCATAATTATATGTTCCTATTTTGTTTATAGTCCCATTACTTAACTCATTTCCTAGCCATACTAGGTGTAATATTAAAATACAAAAGAAAATTTCCATTTAAATTTTATGATTCCTACATAATTTCCATATTCTCAGTTGAATTATTCCATATTAATTATTAAACTATATTTCTTATAGCTTATAAATATATGACATGCAGACCTATGTTCAATCATTGTTGTCAGGAAAATATACATTAAAATCACAATAAGTTGCCATTGAATGTTTATAACTAAATCAAATTTTTGACATTAATTTGTTTTCTGGGGCTGAAGCGATAACACAACAGATAGGGTGTTTGCCTTGCACACAGCCAACCCGGGTTCGATTCCCTACATCCCACATAATCCCCTGAGCACTGCCAGGAGTAATTCCTGAGTGCAGGAGTAACCCCTGTGCATTGCCAGGTGTAACCCAAAAAGTAAAAAAAAAAAAAAATTAGTTTTCCAGAAAGCAGGCACTTGTGGCTCTTAAGTACTTGAAATATCACTAGTCTGAATTAAAATGCTCTAAGTATAAAATTCCAGAATTTTGTGACTTAATATGTAGCACTGTAGCACTGTCCTCCCATTGTTCATCGATTTTCTCGAGCAGGCCCAGTAATGTCTCCATTGTGAGATTTGTTATTACTGTGTTTGGCATATTGAATACGTCACAGGTAGCTTGCCAGGCTTTGCCTTGCAGGCAAGATACTTTTGGTGACTTGCCGGGCTCTCCAAGAGGGGCGGAAGAATCAAAGCCGGCTCGGTGAGGCCGGCCACATGCAAGGCAAATGCCCTACCGCTGTGCTATTGCTCCAGCCATATTCTTGTAAAAAGTTGTATATAAATATTTTTATAACTTTATTCGTAATATTTACACAAGCCCAAACCTGGTAGCATTTTTTCTCTTTTGAAGTAAAAATTATGGTTATTCTTTTCAGAAACATTTGTCACGATCCTGAGGAATGTGGTTCTCAAAATTAGTGTTTAATGTTTTTTTCCAGAGAAAGTGTATTTAGTGTCAATAATAAATAATAATAGGATAAAATTTAGAGGTAATAATTCAAAAGATTAGTGAAAAGTTGAAAGAAATTTAAAATAGTAAATGCATTTTTAAAAATATTAATGTAATGAAATGCAGGCAAATTGTTGTGATATAAGTGTGCTGGCCTCTATATAATTTCCCAAATGTAGGACATCTCACCACATCATTCATGGTAATTATGTGACAGCATTCACTCTTCCCCTAAACAAATACAGTAATGACTTACGTAAAAGCATTTAATGTTAAATTGTCAATGATTCTATTTAATGATTTTTTGAATGACTTTTGCAGTTGAAATTACATTTAAACCCACTTAAAACTTTTAAAATCATAACTACATCTAAAAGCATAATTATAAACTATTAATTTCCCTTGAGATTAGAAAGCTTAAATGAGGGGGAAAGCAAGATATCTGCCCAGTTGCTACAACGTTAAGTGTCTATAAACTGCTTTGCATTTCAACTGTGAACTTTGAATCTCGTATCTGTACATACCAAATAGTGCATATGTTCTCCACTTATTAAAGTTTTGCATTTTTGCTTTTTAATCATCTGAGTAGAAATGAGATGAATCTAGGAAATTTTGCTTCTCTAATATTTTTTGTAACATAAAAATTTCCAAACTAAGTGTATA